GGTGTACTGGATTACAACGACCTGATGTGACCAAGAAGAATGGAAAAGCGCAGCGATAACAGCTGTTCCTTATCTTTCTTTCGTTTATTTCTGTCAGGATTTGTCATCGCCTTGTGATTTTATTTCCACTTTCATCAATTTGTTAAGGCAGTGATTTGTCACCCAGTATGGTCATGTGTTCCTCCTTTTATGTGTCCCATTATCTCGCTTAGGTGATCTGTGAGCAGCAGAATGCCCCTGTCAAATTCGGCGCATCTGGGGAGAAACCTCAAGCAGGACGGTAAAGCCTTGAGAACCAAGGCTGGAAGATATGGCGTCAGTGTTACCAGCAAAGAAATGGAACCGAGTAAGCTAAGAATCGTAACTTTCAAAACATGCACATCAGGTGATAAAGGTGGTATCAAAATAGTCCTGGCACAGGTGAAAGGCGTCTCAACTTAAATGCTTGTTTTATAAATGGCAGGCATCAACCAAAAATTTTCAGTTGTATGCTTTTTTAGCTGGAAATTTTGCATTCACGAGTTCCAAACGTGTCAACGAATGAGGAGGAGAAACAAAATACACGGAAGTGCAGTGCTGTAAGTTGGCAAAATAAGATGTGGTCAGGAACCTACTGGGGAAAATGGCTGCAGGTACCGTTTTTGTAAAAACTCTTCAAAATACATAAAAACGGGTAATTCTCCGTGTTTCTTCTACTTACGTTCGGGGGGGGGGGGGGTGAAGCATCCTCAACTGAAAAAGAACCTTCCTCTGCTGGGGTGGGAGCACTAATCGGCAAATAAAACAAGAAAAGTGCGTAGGTGGGTTTTTACATCGTTGCCCATAGGGTGCTTGGCCGCTGCCTATCTCTCAAATGAGGAGCGCTATACCTTACACGGAACCGCGACCCAACTATGGAAGACAACGGCTGGAGACTTCTGAATGAAATATATGATGCAGAGCTGAATGTTTGCAGAGAGGGGGGGGGATGGGGTCAAGTCCTGCCTAGCCTATGTGAATGGACGTGGGGCTTAATGCCTGTGGAATATGTCTATTTGGGAAATGGTCAGGGCGCACGTGCACTTTTATCATTACTTGCTTTCCTTTCATCACGATAGGGCGATTTACCATGGACGTGGGCTACTGCACCGTTTCCAGCAGAAACCCAATTAGTCATACGTCGCCCATGCATTCTAAACAAGGAAGTTCCAGGATTCTAAAACAAGTTTACCGCGCCTGACAAATGATGTCAAACAAGGGCTAGAAGAGCACACGTGCGTTTCTATTAGCTGACGCCTCTCGCCAGCTCCCACCGTTGTCAGTTCTGCCGGGTAAAGGCTGACGTCTGTGGAAAACGCCAGTTAGCAATGCACTTCAGGATTTTAAGTGGCAGTTATGTTATGAATGCAATCAGGATGCCAGAACTTACATTGCCCATCTTGATCAGCCACTATCGACAGTCATAGGCATTTGACATTACGTTATCACCTGGCCTCAATTCCTAGCTATGACATTAATTGACCCTCCCCCCCCCCCCCTCAAGCATTGACAGGAGTTTTCCGACATCAGATCCAGGTGGCGTCGTGAGTCATGTCGGTCGAATTCCAACAAAATGCGCTTGACCAAATGGTGACAACAAATTGCAGGTATGGCCGACTGCGCTTTCAGTGATGGCCGGCTAGCAACTAGTGGTTCTATTCACAGCCGCGAGATGGCGGAGCTAACACTCGCCACCTCCGTAGGGCCCGACAACTGATTGCACTGAGTACAGGCTGGCTCCGGCTCACGATCGTCTGACTGAACAGTCATGTCTGGCGTATCTCTCTTAAGCGTCGCCAAGAAACAGGGGTGGCGCCATCAACTTTTAAAAGGGGAGAGAGATTAAACAACCAACCTCGACACTTGGGTAAAAAATGGGCGAGAAACAACCTGTTTCACAAATGGAGTTCTCGCAAATGATCGTTGTAGTGTGAATTATTTTTATTCATTCGCGCTGAACGACTGATTGGAATGCCGTATCGCAATTTCGAACCTTTCAGCACACTACAGGAACGTAGTTGGGACTGGGAGCCAAACAGTCAAGAACTGAACTTGTTGACAACAAGCTGGACTGATAGCATCGAATACACTACTGACAATCTTGGGAATGCCGTCGAGTGATCATTGGGTTAGGTCTCAGTACCGGCGTAGTTTTAGCAATGCCATGCTAGCAAATGTGAAGGAGCTTCACCCTTGTGAACAATTCGGTCCCTATGACACAAAATGTTTGCAAAAAATGAGTTGTCTTCGCAAGAGGTTGTTGGGGTTCGTCTCCTCTTGTCCAGAGATAGATGGGATATATCCCCCGCTCCCCCCCCCCCCCCCCGAAGACACCGTCCCTGCCAACAAAGATCTGTAGTGGTTGCCAGCTGCTGTACGCCATAAGTGTAGCTCATTTTCAAGGCAGCCTTGCGAGAGGCAACCCGTCGCTGTTTTCTCTTCAGTCTATCAGTGGTGTGACACTGTGAACAGCCCAAGGCACATGGAGACAACTGCCGCGCTCAAAATCCGCCTTCCGCAGAACCCTCCGGTTTTACTGCTGATTGCACGTTCAGAGCTGGTCGGTCCCCGTTCGGTGGTTGAAAGTCATGATCCTCTTTGCTGATGTGCGTTCCTTGGGGCATCAATACAAACAAGGACACATAACACACCGGAAGACATTCTCCCTTCCATGTCGTGAGAACTTACGATGCAATGTTTCCCCAAAAAAGCAGGGTCAGCAATGTGAGCTACATGCACATTACCCTTAGATGCCTAAGTGCGTGCAGGGTTTGGCTCGCATTAGCACAGGCGCCAGGTGCTGTGTCGCTCAACGCAGATTGACACGTATGTGCTTGTCAAGCCTCGATTTCCTTGGCATGGACGGCGCTTGAAAACAGCCAGTCACAGGCGACAGACCGTAGGGAACATGGGAGCAATCGGTTTCATGCGCCCCACAGCATGTTCATGCCATACTGACTTAGCATTTTGGGTCTGAGAGCGGCGCATCGTATTGCTCTGCTGTCTACTAATACCACCAGATGCTACTGCGTTACACTTGCGTTGCATGGCGCACATTTTGCTATCCCGTGGAGTTTTCGCGGCAAATGCACAATAGTTTAAAACTGTACAAGACACTCTACTGGGCGAATCTGACTGAAAGTGATACCACAAGTCGGCTTGATTTACGGTCGCCAGCGATCTCCGCTGTTTTCCCGCCAGACGAGTCAGGTTTCCACACCGCGGTGTTCATATTTCTCAGCGCGGTTCGCCGTCGGTTTTTCGATTTTCGAATGGCGGGATCGGAGGCCAACAGCGCATTGAGAGGCGTCGAGCTCAAGATGAAAAAGATTCAAATTTTCAAGAAGTCCGTTGTGGAGTGATAGGTTTCTGATGAGGAGCCATATTAAGCATGGGCCGGCCATCATCGCAGTCTGTAGCAATCCCAGCTGGACGAACATTCTGTTGCTGTCGACAGACATGAACTTGCCCCACAACGTCGTGTCATGGCCACCCCGCCTCAACTTGACTCCCTTGGCCACCTACCAACTGACCGTCGAAGACGGGATACATGTGGGCTTTGTGGGACGTGACCCCCACGAGTACATACGTGTCACATATTGGTCCGCGTGTCCGACGCTGTAACAATGGAGCTATTGGAACAGTAGTTCTGCGTCACGTATCGTCTATTTTGTGTTGGTAAATCGGTTGCACCACGTGTATACTTAAGCACTCATCTGATTAGAAGTATCATGAAAAATGTCTAAAGAAACAGCCATCTACGCACCAAATAGATTCAATCGAAACAGCCACTGCTAAATTTCCACAAATTGAAGGCTATCAAATTGCCATAAGAACTGGAGTTCTGGTACAAAATTGTGGATGTAGTTTACATGTAACTGCAATTTACCGATCACTGTTGAATCGGTTTCTGTTACCCTGATTTAAGCCATCATTCAGGCATTGGCAGCGACGAGCGTGCCTGTGCGTCAGCCGCTTCTCCATCTTTCTCTCCGTTTATACCCAATCTGATGACGGTGATTGCCGGAAATCCATGCTCCTCTCTTCTCCCATGTTTGGATCGAAGACATTTTTCCGTGGACTAAAGGGGTGATCACTGGAGCTGGAAATCATCTGACAGCTAGCTTGAAGCGCAGTGTCGATCGGGGCGAGCGATCGGTGAAGCAAGACGTTACATTTCGATGCTGCCGGGACGGAGCGAGACAACTCAGAACACTTCGTGGACCTTGTATTTGTTATGACACACACTGAGTGCTGTATTCAACCCTTCCGCCACTGAGAAGAGCTCAGTTTACGGCACACATGCATGATTAACACCAGTACACGAACAGCGACTGAAATGGCATGCACAGGTACGCTGTGCCGCGCCAACCTTCCAATGTGGGAATTCGGGTCAGGTTGGGCGGGCCGGCTGTCCCCGCTCAATATTGCGGCCCATTGGTCACCACAGAAGACTCTTTACACTCCGACGATTTTGATTGGACCTCACCATAAGTTCGTGCGACGCGCGTGCCAGCATCTCCAAAAATGTGGCCCCACGGCAGAAGATCACGCGAATTTCCCGGTTAGAGGTTCAAGAGGTCAGGTGGGCCTCTACGCTCCGTGCCACCGGCGCTAATGAACCGCACATGACGCGCGATTTGATCGATACTAAATCACAGCGCTCCACGACCACAAAATACATCATGAACTGTGCTCAACTGGGTCAAACGTAGGCAAATTTCAAGTGGTTAAGATCATTTTTCACCTGCAGCACCTGATCCACAAATGAGCACAGGTCGAATAGAACACAACAATACATGCAGTGCAATTCAACATACTCCTGAGACAGGTCGCAATAAACGCGTAGTGCACTTCACTCGATACGACTTTACTCGATACCAACAGCATTACACATTAAGCAAGCAAACTGATTGAAAGCAAACGTTGCGCTTACTTCTGCTAGCGACAATAACGTCACGCACGTTGGGCACTGACTCAGTTCACTCTGTAAGGTGTGAATGGAGTCAGTGCTGTCAGCCAGTGGATTCACTAACTCCGTACACAGTTATAATGCCACGATTGCATTTAACAACAGATGCTCAGTCTGCACAAACTCAGGCAAGTCAATGGTGTCTTGTCTTTTGGTCACGACATTTTGTCTCCCAGCTATTGAAATGCTTATTAATATTTTCACGTGGTTGTGGCAACATATTTTCGTGCAGAGATCCAGCCAAAACGTAGCTCTTGGGAAAACGACTCTGATAGATTGTACGTAAAAAGTTCCGTTTGAGCCTTCGCCTGGATAATATACAAACCATAGATCTAAGTTGCACCATGTCATTGTCTTTAGACGTACAAGTCGCTTACCTGACGCTGCTGACCGAGCGCGATTCAAAATAAAAGGGGCACATAGCCTATCACTGGCTACGAGCACAATGGTGTTCTAAGATCTCTTCACTGTCATTCACACGCATCGGCGGAGCCAAGAGGAGCCCGGGAAACGCCCTCCTCGAAGGCTCACATCTCCATTTTAGTGTCAGAGATGACTCATGACACAACATGACAAGTCAGCGTGATAAGTTCCCGCTGAGCTTCGCCCCCCCCCCCCCCCCATGAGAACAATCGCTGTGCCCCTAATCACGCGCACGTACACAGCACTGAACAACAGCCCTTGCGCACGCTTGTTGGTGCCGCCTTGTGTCTGCGTATGCCGTGCCAGCGCGGCCAGGCCCCACATCTGCGGAACCGACGTCAGTCCCGTCACAACCAACCGCGCGGGACACACGTACCTGTACACAACGGCCCCACGAAACACTGACGCGCACCACCCGGCCGGGCATGCGCGAGACCTGACTGATCTGTCGCTGATCCCTTGCACTCGCAATCTCAGTGTTCTCATGTCCGGGCGCCTCGTGTGGTTGAACCGCTCCCAGGTGCACATCCGGCTCCGACGCCGCGCTGGATCTTCTGAGTCCTGTTCCGCCCCTTCTCGTCAGCCTCATCGTTAACGGCCGCGCCGCGTGGCCATCTCTACATACAGAACGCGCCGGACCCAGCTGTTGAACATGTTCAGCCCGCGCGTCTGTTCGGTGCGGTTTTGCCAATCACACTGGATGGCTATTGTTAGACGCGTAATTGTCCGGCGTGCATTGGAAAGAAATACAGAGGAGCCGCTCGTGTGCCCATGGCCAACAATGGAAGTGTGTGTGTGTGTGTGTGGTGGTGCCTCAGCCATGCAATAGCCACTGACATGTTCGATCTGACCAATTTTGTTTTTATCGCAATACCGCAAATAGCCAGGAGAGCCTTATGGATCTGAATGCTCTCATTACAGGTCTGAGCATGATTGCCGCACATAAAAGGCTCTAGGCGCGAACTGTCGGCCGCTGGCATGCGCGGCGCAGCCGCTGCCATCGCGCTCACACCCCACGCGCGCGACGTCGCTGTTCTGTCCGGCCGGCTGCCGCGTGACCTAGCCGGTCTCTAGACCAGCTGCGGGTCGCGTGCTCCCTGGCGGCCCGTTCGGCGGTAGGGTCCTCGCCGCCCGGTGAAAGACAGACCGAAGGGGCGACGGCGCCGACTCCGCAGTCCCGACGCGTGTGGGGCCTGTCGTCGCCTGCCGAGTCGGCGCATCCCCGGGGAGGCCGCCGCTGCCGCCCGCGCCACTTCGGGCATTTAGCGGCGCCACGCCAACCCGCCGCCGCTCGACTGGCCTCCGGGGACGCGTGACGCTCGGCGCCGCCGCCGCTCGGGCGGCTACGAGGAGCAGACGGCGGCGGGCGCACGTGTCGGCCGGGGCAGGCCGCTGATGGCCGGCTAGCAGCGGGCGGCCAGCGCCAGCAGCAGGCGGGTCAGCAGACGGCGGCGGGCGCACGTGCCGGCCGCGGCAGGCCGCTGATGGCCGGCTAGCAGCGGGCGGCCAGCGCCAGCAGCAGGCGGGTCAGCAGACGACGGCGGGCGCACGTGCCGGCCGCGGCAGGCCGCTGATGGCCGGCTAGCAGCGGGCGGCCAGCGCCAGCAGCAGGCGGGTCAGCAGACGGCGGCGGCGCACGTGCCGGCCGCGGCAGGCCGCTGATGGCCGGCTAGCAGCGGGCGGCCAGCGTCAGCAGCAGGCAGGTCAGCAGACGAAGGGCCGACCCTGGCCCCGCCGCCGGCCCGCTGTGGCCGCTGGTCTGCATCGCGGCAGGGTGATCGTCTGAAAACAGAGCACAGCGCGGTGCCAGAGGCGTCCTCAGCGCAAGGGTGGATGGGCGATGAAAACACGCGCAGTAAGATGACACTTAAATTCCGTGCTCTTAGTACCATGCTGCGTTCTTCGTCATAGGAGAGCTTCACAAAAGTCCAACGCGGGCCGACGACCAGATTTCCTAAAAACATTTTTGTCATTCTTTTGGTAGTGTCTCTGGCGTTTCCGCGTGGATTTGGTTAGAACAGGATCCAGGGCAAGAGGGGTGGGCATGACTTTCTTGGGATTTACATCACGGTCACTCGAGAAGGGGAAACAGTTCGTAGAATTGACCATTGTCCAAATGAGCAGCCCGGAGGAACGGACAGGGACTCCAGCCCATCCCTAATGCCACCATACTTTTACTTTAGCATCGCAGATGACTACTGACATAAAGATCAAAATAAGCGTCGTAAGCCATTTGAGCTACACGGTCCCCGTCCATTAAGAAAATGTTGGCTGTCGCCCTGCTATCGCCTCAAGCATCTCTCGGACACAAACTTCCAGGGACCCTTGAGAAACTGAAAAGTTAACTTCACAATCTATTTTGAACGTATTGTATCTTAGTGACGTTTTGGATCCGTACCTGATTTGGGTCCCAAATTGGGCGGTGCGAGACGGGAGTGAGGAGAGGATTTTTTCCAATACCCCTCCCCCACGGCCATAGACCCCCAAAGGCAAATATCCGTTCATATCCTTACCGCTTATCAACACTATTCGACTCGCATTTCAGCATTTCAAACGTCGTGGCTACGCTAAAAGGAAGTGCCGAAAACACGTGAGTGCTAAGTTATCTGTGTGAAGCTATTTGTGTGCCCTGCACGGGAAAACATGCTGATGGCTGCTGTGCCTGTCAACAATGTGAATATTACATGACTTAACGACACGGCATACGGCCACGACTGCCCGCAAAATACGCCGGTCACCACTCACGAAGACGTCTGTGACTTTAAGCAAACCCATATCAAGAACCTCGTTAGGAACTAACTGATGAAAACGTTTCCAGGCAAAAACCCATCAGCAAGATAATGGCAGTGAAAACTGTATAATCATTCAACCGTCAAAGAAATACACATGCGAAGCCAAGAAAACAAGAAATCAATGGCCAGGAAGTCGCACAACTTCAGCACTCTAGCTGAAAAAATTAATTCAATTTTCAGCACTCAAGCACTAAAGCTCTAGCTAATTTTAGCACTCTAGCTCGCTAACGATACAGATCAAATCAACAGGGAGGAAGGGGGGGGGGGGGGAGGTGTGCGCTCCGCACTGGAAAAGGCATCTTTATAATAACGATATAATAATATAATACGCATAAGGGAATCTTCGTCTCTGAGGTTTTCCTCGCGCGGATGACTTTCATGACAACAAGATGGATTTTTTAGACCATAATCCATCCTGGCCAGCAGCGGCGAGAATATGGTCCGCAAACCAGCACGTGTAGGCATCAGTTTCTTTCCCCGTCTCTGCCGTATCGTTGGCTGTGGTATTGGGGTTGTATAAAGACATTTCACCCGATGATGTCCTCACAAGATCACGTTTATTTCACATATAGTCGACGATTACGCGACCAGCACTCTTCAAGCCTATTTTGCACCACACAATGCCTCACAGGCTGGGGGAAAACACAGCCTGCAGGATAATTCAACAAACCATAGCCCGACTTCTTCCGAAGATAATTAAATGGCTGGTGATGGTACAGCGCGTGATAACATTATCTATTTGCGCACATCGTTTTCGCGAGCGATTTGTGAAGCCCGGAACAAGCAGACCTTCACATCCGTTTTCACATGGAAACCGTTTAGATCGATTTACGTCGGATGTTAGCTGATTGATCGAGTATGAAACGAGAGGCCTGTGGCCCATGATCAGACATATCAACGTAATCCAACCGTACAAATCTCATTTACGCGCACGTACGTCAGCTGCGTCAGCCAGTCAATCGATCATTGCGGAGAGCCTCCAGGGCAACGGACTGATCTCCGAAGCATCTCTAGGGTTTGTGTGTATGCCTGGTGTTGGTGGGTAATGTCTTATGTGTGGGTAGCTGCGATTATCAATGTCGTATTAACAACATTTACCTCGCATGAACATATAATCAGAAGCATAAGCAGCAATGCCTTACACATGTATATGGCGTGCGGCTCATCAGATGAGTAGCATGGTTTGTAACTCCTGGGTTACAAAAAACTGACTTAATTGAATTTAAATTTCGATGCACCAACCAGATACGCGCACAACAAAGTGCATTGCAACGACTTGCGGGCGGTTTCTTTTCATTTTATGATGTCGGCTCCCGTTAGTCTCATCTTCAGGAAAGGTGAATTTCATCTTCTACTTAAATGATTGGTTCTCCAACGCGGTACATCAACGTAGTTGCTTATTCCTTCCACCACATTTCTGCCCCCGTTATCGGGGGCAGGCCACCTTTTTTCTTTGCAAGGTTTCGCCATCACCACATATTCGTAAGGAATACGGCTACACCAACAGCTTTTGATATAGCACACGACCGACCAATTTCGTAGAGCCTCCGTCGGACGTGAAGCGTGATGGGTTCCAGGGCACTCCGTTTATTTCGTGCGCCAGCTTTGTTACCTTCCATCACGCTTGCTTCCGTATGTCGCTGACATAATGGCAACTTAACGCATGACACCCCGAAGGGGGTTCTAGAATATATTTATAGAAAAACACATCTGAATAGAGTCTTAACTCAGACGGCCAATGGAGAGACAAACACATTAACTGGCTTTTTTAAGCTTGGAATCTCATTCCAGCGGGACGAAGGTCTTTCTGGTACTTCTATATCTGTGTCGCAGAAGTTGCCATCTCAGTCAAGACGTGTTCTTCCAACGGGACGGCGCGCGGGGGGGAGCGACAATCGTTGCGTCAGGTAAGCCAATAAGCTTACCCGATCAGCTGAGTGGTGAGCAAAGCCCTTGTGAGCACGTGATGGCGAGTGCGCAAAGTCCATGTGAGCACGTGATGGCGAGTGCGCAAAGCCCATAATGGCTCGGCTCAGACCGCGTAGTGATGCGGCTCAGCCCAAAGGCCAGAAGTGCCGCCTCAGACACTGCGGAACGCTCATTGCAGCGGCCGTGAACTCTGGTCCGCAGCCCTGGCCGGCTTTCACTGCGCTGGCCAACGAGCTTTGCTAAATTGCAACAAACTGTTTGCAACTGGCAGGTGAGGAGGCAAAGCGTCTGGCTCCACGCCCGCCCGTGGCCGGGGGGTTGGGCTCCAGCCACGTCGGCGCTCGCCACGTACTCCTGGCTGAAATGGTTTGCGGGCCGGTGGCAGCAGCCACCCCGGATGGGATAAGGTCGGAGGGCGAGGCAGGCTGTACCGAGCATTGAGGCGCGTTGAAGTTTCGTTACAAAATGATGCCGTTGAACTGGAATTTCACGATCGGTTTGGTCGGCTCTAAGTGCGGGTCAGGGCTCACGCAACAAGCCGTGCTTGGGGTAAGACCTCATCCCAGAATCTGTCCAATCAAAATGTCAGCCTAATTGTATCTAAGAAAAGGCCTTCCTGATTGCTAGACGTTTTCGTGGATTTTTTTAACTCCGGGATGTGTGGAGCCTTAGACCACCAAAATGACGCCATGCGTGAGATCAACAGCCACATGGCAGTGTAATAATTCCTTGGTCAGTATGATTGGTGCATTGCATTGGTGCATTGGTGCACCACCATCACCTCCTGTGGTGGTGGTGGTGGTGATATGATGTGCATTATTTTCTGAGTGGCCAAAAACATCTCCCTCTCTTTTTCATCACGATTTCGCCAAATGGTAACAGTTTGCTGATTTTAAGCAAGAGCATGCCAAAACTGAATGTGATAAATTAAAATGAACTGAAGATTCCACAAATAAGTCAATTAAAGAACGAATCACGTTCATGCATGTTTGAGCTCATATTGCAGTTGGAAATGGACCAAAATGTGATACATTGATACATTACTATGCAGGGAATGTTTCCTCTGAGAATTCATATTTAGGGGCACATAAGATTTATAAAAAAAAACGTGATGGGTCGGTGAAATAAACTGAAAAACTTGGGACTGCATCGGTCTGAATCCTGGAAAATTAATATCTGGATTGGTTATCCCAGAAGACAGCTAACGTGGGTATTTTTTTCGCGCCAGGCGCAATGAGCCTCAAGCAGTATGCATAAACACACCTACATTCCGGGGGACCACGTTTACACTTGGTTTGACCTCACTTTGGTAGATGGACCATGAAATTTGCTAACGCTGTGGTATAGTACGTGAACGCGATGACACATCCCTTCGTTTTGGGTCAGTTTGCAAACGTGTTGACTATATTTTGGGGGATAGACGGCCCGGAAGTCGAGAAGAGATTTTGGTGATTTTAACGCCATCTGTGAGATCAACAGTCACATGACTGACGTCAATGTAACGATTTCTTGGTAACATATGACTACAGCTATTGATCTTCCTGCGAACTGTTAAGGAAATGGGCACTTCCGAACACTCCGGAGGTCCCGGCTAAAGAAATATTCAGGTGATGCTGGGTGAATGACATTATGCGCAACACATTGGTTTTAGACTCAAACATACAGGAGTGTTGGAGGAATCAAAAACTGTTTAGGACATTCGCCCAGAAGTCGTGCGAGACTTTCATTACCGGCCACTGCTTATTAATCGGGCGTTCCCGGTGTGAACCATTCTCAACACATCACGCGATATATCCGTGTATGTTGTTACATGCTATTGTCTCAGTCGGAATGGTGTAGTTTGCCATGCAGAGGACCACTAGTAAAAACACGCGACTTCTGCATAGCCGGCGGTGGGCCAGCGAATCGCCGCGACATTTTGCGCCGACGAGACCGGAGACTTTGCGGTGACTGGTGTTTTAAGCGATTGTGACCTGATGATTGCATAATACACCAATGTTCTGGGTTGAAAATGGTCTACTTAAGTTGGGCTATACGCCTATGGCCTTTTCATGGCACAAA